CAGGATCTCTCCACCAACCTGAAGTGGGCAAGCCACCCTTTTCCGACTGAGGACCATGGTCTCGGATTTGGAGGTCCTGATTCTCATCCCAGCCGCTTCACACTCGGCTGCAAAGTGCATGCGGTCCTGTTTTCTTACAGTACTAATGAGAATTTTTAATTAAGCATAATACAAACTTTTCATTTAGACCCTAAAGAATAGAATTAACTTGTATGAAAATGGCATTATATGACCCCTTTAAGAATAACTCTATGGACATTAAATAATTAAGCTTTCTCAGCACGAACAATCTTTGGTGTGACTTTTTAACAATTGCATCAGAATTCTGGTCAAACTTTAACTTGTTATCAAACGTTCCCAGGTGCTTATATTGCTCCACTTCCTCCACATGTGTGCCATTAATGTGCTAATGTTCTCCTACTAAAATTAATTACCTTCTCTTTAGATTTTGAGACATTCAGATCTAGGTTCATACTATTACACCAAGAAATGAAATTGTACAAAACAGAACCATATTACTGATCTGAATGTGAAAGCAAGGAAAGCAACACAGTATCTTTCGCATATTTAATCAAATACTTGTTATCTTGTAAACTCTGATAGTCATTTGTGTATAATATAAACAAGATAGGAGAGAGCACACATCCTTGAGGGGTACCTGGGATAACACCTCGTTAATCCTAACCCTCTGTTGCCTGTTTGTTAAAAAATTCATGATCCATAGAACTAAACCATGATCAAAATTAAAGTGACTGATAAGTCTTTGCCCTAACGTAACAGTTTGCGCTCATTTTCCAGATGACGACAAAGAGTATTTAGCAAAAACACCTCTCGGTGTTGAAGAACACGTTCTTTAAATCAGAACATGTGTTCAAGAACATATCGCAATCGGTACAATCAAAAGAACCCTTCAAAACATAAGTATTAAAGGGTTACCATTCTTTCACATTTCGTACTTCACTTGCTTTACAATGGGGATGTATTCAAGAGGAAGTAAAGACAGTCACCTGTATGCTTCCGGGATCGGACCATAACATCTATCCCAGGGTTTGATCAGAGCGAGAAGCGCATGTAACATTGATGGTATCCTTTTAGATGCTTATATAGAAGAAACAAAAAAAATGTCTTCTTATCAATGTTTAAAATTGTTTAATATTTTTGAGCATTTATTTGAAATAGAAATCTTTTGCAACATTATAAATGTCTTTATTCTCTATGCTTTCTGAATTAATTTCTTTTAACTGACCCCAAACTTGTGAACTTTATGACTGATCATTTACAAAAAGATTAGAAACAGACATTAAGAGGATAAATTTGGTTAGTTTTGATATCATTTGGAAGCCTGAAAGGCATATTCTGTGCAAAAACCCACTCGTTCGTTTACTTATTCACCGTTTAATACATCGTGGATTTCACATGTAAGCGTAAATTAGTGATTTCAGGCACAGCGGTAACACTACTGTTTTTTGTAGGCCATTAAATACATGGTACATCCCAAATTTAATTTTATATTATTATTATTATTATTATTTGAATCTGATCTAACCTGACACTTATTTTATAGATTTTTATTAAACAATTAACTGGATTTGGAACCTTATTTTCTTTCCCTCATCCTTTCTTTCATCCATTTCATTCCACTACATTGCTCAATGTTAAGACGTGTCAGTGGGCAGGTTTCTCGCATTGGCCTTCCACACCAATTGATTGATGTAGCTCACTAAACTGGTGAAACAGTGATGTGTCTGCAAAACCCGACACTCATTTTTATTGGATGAGCAAGTTTCCGTGCATGAAATCTCCGGTTCTCTTAACGCCCTAATGAGTTCAAGGAAGGCTCTGCTCTTGAGGTGTGTTCTTCTGGTCTGAAACTTGCATTAACCTGTGTGAGGAAACAAGAGAGTACAACTGTCCTCAAGAATACAGAGAGCTTTTGTCTGCAACAAGGTTCTTCAACTGATGCAAGAGCCTCTTGTTTTTCCCCTCCGACAGCGTGTGTTTAACTCAGAAGAGAGCAAAGTGCTGGGGCCAGTTTCACAAAGATAAACTTTGACTACGGCTTAGATATAGTATATAGTCAGGTTTCAAATCTAAATCAGACCATTGCACAAAGCATTTAAGACTATCTTAAGTAGGACTCCACTGCAATGCATTCTGGGTAAAATAAAACACTTTTCAAAACAAAAAACATGGCAGATGGAGTAAGCGCATTCAACCACTCAGTGCAATTTAACCCTAGTGGAAAACTAAGGAGCCCCCCTAGTCCCACTTTGTCAACAACAAAAAAATGAATTGATACTATCTTGTGGCCTCAAGATACTAACTCGTGGCCTCAAGATACTAACTCGTAGCCTCAAGATAGTAACTTGTGGCCACGAAATAGCATCTTGAGGCCACGAGTTACTATCTTGAGGCCACGAGTTATTATCTTGAGGCCACGAGTTACTATCTTGAGGCCACAAGTTACTATCTTGAGGCCACGAGTTAATATCTTGAGGCCACGAGTTAATATCTTGAGGCCACGAGTTAATATCTTGAGGCCACGAGTTAGTATCTTGAGGCCACAAGTTACTATCTTGAGGCCACGAGTTAATATCTTGAGGCCACGAGTTAATATCTTGAGGCCACGAGTTAGTATCTTGAGGCCACAAGTTACTATCTTGAGGCCACGAGTTAATATCTTGAGGCCACGGGTTATTATCTTGAGGCCACGAGTTAGTATCTTGAGGCCACGAGTTACTATCTTGAGGTCACGAGTTACTATCTTGAGGCCACGAGTTAGTATCTTGAGGTCACGAGTTACTATCTTGAGGCCACGAGTTAGTATCTTGAGGCCACGAGTTAGTATCTTGAGGTCACGAGTTACTATCTTGAGGCCACGAGTTAGTATCTTGAGGCCACGAGTTACTATCTTGAGGCCACGAGTTACTATCTTGAGGCCACGAGTTACTATCTTGAGGCCACGAGTTACTATCTTGAGGCCACGGGTTAGTATCTTGAGGCCACGAGTTACTATCTTGAGGCCACGAGTTACTATCTTGAGGCCACGAGTTACTATCTTGAGGCCACGAGTTAGTATCTTGAGGTCACGAGTTACTATCTTGAGGCCACGAGTTACTATCTTGAGGCCACGAGTTAGTATCTTGAGGCCACAGTTATTATCTTGAGGCCACGAGTTAGTATCTTGAGGTCACGAGTTACTATCTTGAGGCCACGGGTTATTATCTTGAGGCCACGAGTTAGTATCTTGAGGTCACGAGTTACTATCTTGAGGCCACGAGTTACTATCTTGAGGCAACGAGTTACTATCTTGAGGCAACGAGTTACTATCTTGAGGCCACGAGTTTACTATCTTGAGGCCACGAGTTACTATCTTGAGGCCACGAGTCATTATCTTGAGGCCACGAGTTACTATCTTGAGGCCACAAGATAGTTATAATTATTTTTTTTTTTTTTTTTTGCCAAAGTGGGACTAGGGGGGCTCCATAGAAAACATGTGTTTTAAAACATTTTACTTCGAAAATTTAGCAGAGAATGTAGTACTCTGCAAGAAGAAATGTTTAATTTGGAAAGGTCAATTTTCCCTTTTCTTTTGGCTGTTTTTAATGTACAATGTAACTGATTGTTACTGCTGGTTGCCAAGGTAACAGATGCTTAGACCTAAGTTAGTCTATTTTTTTTTTCTTGGTCTATATTAAGTCAGTCTTTATTGTTGTGAAACAGTCTAACTTGCATTGGACTAGTCTAGGAGCAAATCTGAGACTTGTCTAACACTATAGGTCGGTCTAAAACAGCTTTGTGAAACCGACCCCTCCTTTCCACTATTATAAGTGTTCTACTTCTGTGTTTGTGTGCCTGTTAATCTCTCTTTGTTGCTGAGAAGTAACTGTCTCTCCTTACATGATAACGCAATGCTTTACATTCAGATTAGTTTAGGTTTATCGATGGCCATGTATTGTCAGTCACATGTGTTGTCTGACAGCTGTCGATACATCTCCAGTTATCTGATTAATTACTTATGTGTGTAGAATGGGTGAATCTTTCAACATCCACCCTGCTTCCTTTAGCTTTCTTCACACCGTGACACACTGCCAAGGGAGCAGATTAGATAGATTAAATGTGAATGTGTGAGGCATGTAAGAGTCACTGATGTGAAAACTCTATGAAACAGGTCTCCAGATGATGCACTTTTTCATTCGGTTATGCAGTTCTAACAATATTTTGGAGGGAATTCATGAAGGAGTGTTGTTTATGTGCACACATTAACTATTTTAACACCCAATGCACTTAAGAAATGTGAATTAATTAGGTAATGGCACAAGCATGCCAAAAAATCTGTGCTGAATGCAATTCACTCATCACAGATTCAGAAGCAGGTACAGTACACTTCAGTAGCATTCACTATATAGAAAGTGTGGCCATCTGTGCAATGAGCCTGAATGCATTATTCAGCGCTGTGAATTATTCAGTTTTATATATGCTTTTGTGCATCACTTCAGATCATTGGATGAATAACTGCTGCTATAGCTCTATAGAAAATGCACACCAACTCCTCCCTTTAAATATATATGTTGGGTATATATATATATATATATGTATATGAAGAGTTCAGATGCAAAAGCCTCTAAATGCCATTTGAAATTTTCTTCTAGAATGATCTTTTTTATCAAGCTTGTATATTTAAGTTCAGTGATTTCACTTAAATGGCGATGATAATTACCTATTAATTGTTATTTAATTGAAATTACTGAACTTAAAATATACAAGTTTGATGAAAATCATCATTAAAGAAGAAAATTTCAAATGGCATTTAGAGGCTTTTGCATCTGAACTCTTCATATATATATATATATATATATATATATATATATATATGTACATTGATGGAGGGATGGATGGAGTAAAAGATGAAAAGCCACACTGATATGCATATGAATGCACATATATTCTGATGTTAAATTCTTATCTAACTCACAATAACCTCTCCCTCATCTCCTCAGAACGGCCAGAGACAGCGATGACGATGATGATGATGACCGCAAAGTGAGCCGTGGTTGTACGCTTCAGTACCAGAGGGCCCAGGTTAAGGTTCTGACCCAGTTCCACACTACTTCTACTGAAGGCACAAACCAGATGATCACTATGCTGGGTCCTGACTGGCAAGTGGATGTGACTGAGCTGGTGCAAGACTCTCTGAAGGTGGTGGACGCCAGGGTGGCTGAGCTGGTGGACAGGACGGTGCTTGTGGCCAATGAGCTTGGATCATCCACTCTGAAGGTAGAATACAAATAAGAATGGACCTTATAAATTTAGGATTGATGGAATAATGGGGGGAGAGGTCAATGGATACAATGCAGCGATTTAATTCAGCAGTATTCTCTTTATGCAACATTATTGGACACTGGTGCTTACTCATTATTTTTATGATGCAAAGTGTTAAGGGACAATTGTTCAATCCCCTTCAAAACTTTACTTTCACTCTCTTCACTCATGTTATGTTTTAGACACTTGTGCGGTGGTCTAATTTATTTTATTTTAGCTAGTGTAATAAAATCAAAGCAAAGTATAAATAAAATAAAATAGGCCACCCTGCCAGTGTTGTAACATGTCAAAACATAACATCAGGGAAGAAAGTAAAGTTTGTACTTGGAATTTTGAGAACTTGTTTTGTTTTCTCATCTGTTCTCTTTTCTTTTCTTACAACAATTGTTCATAGTTAGCCTGATAATTAAGTGTTTTAAACAGAGAGATTGCTAAGAATATAAATGTAGTTTACTGATAAAATCAATAGGAGTCCTTAATAAATATTTCAAATTCTCATATTTAATTTATCTAAGTTAGCTCTGCCGCTGTCTTTGTCTTTTAATGCCCCGTTAGGAAGCTATTCATATGCATATTTAGTCCCAGTAGGCTATTCAGAAACTGGGATGTTTGGGAAGAGTATTATCAGTGCTTTATAAAAACTTCAATAGTGTTAAATTGGGGGAATCATTCTTGAAAGTGAAGTTTTCTCTCCATTGAATCAGCACACAATCAGTTCATTGTGTCCAAACAGAGAGATTTGATTGTTCATGACAGCTTCATCACACCTCTCCACAGTGCTTTCTGTTGTTTGGCTTAAAAAAGAAAAGAAAATTTGAGCATGAAAGAAAAAAATTGCTAATTTAACTAGGGAAAACAGCAAGGCCATTAATAATTAATGTCCAATGCAAATTTTCCAAATGTTTTTGCTGAATGCAAGCTGAAAATAAACGAGTCTTCACCCTTCCGAAAACCAAAGAAAAAGAAACAAGGGAAAGGTATGAATAATGTTGTTTATTAGTCGACCACACCAGGGTTTTTTAGCTCATTTGGTGGGTCTTTGATCTTTCTCTGCCTGAGCGCTCATCCTCCACCCGTCACTTTGGCCCGAACACAAAGACGCTCCGAACGTCTCCCGTGACACATTGTTTTGATAGTCTTATGAACGGCAGAAGGTATTGCTGACCCCTTCTCAGCGTCGACTGAGCCGTAATGGTCCTGGGAATCAATCTACAGTAGCATTAAGTGTACAATACTTACCCTCTGAGCCTAATTCTTTGTATTTCCTATGACTTAATTGGCTCGCCAGGTCTACCAAGTACAGTAATTAGGTTTTGGGGGAATAGGCAGTCCCTTTTTAGCTTTTGAGCACACTCTATTCATGCATGCAAAGCTCTGGTTGTAATGCAAACATCAAAAGAAGGTATATCAGCAAGTATAATAAAACTAATTGCCACCGCCTGGATGCCAAACAAACTAGTCATTCTGGCAAGAATTAGTTTTTAGTTCCCCTTTTGCTATCTGCCATTCCTTTTCTCTCCTTCAAATACGCTTTGGCTTTGAAGCTCGCCTTGAACTCGGGAAATAAAAAATGCAGGAACAAAACAGTTTAGTTCAATTATACATTCATCTGCTTCAAAACCACCCCCCACCCATCAAGATCTCTTTTCCAACCAAAGGAAGGGAGGATTTTATAGGACTGGATGGTCAATGGACATACTGTATGGGTCGCAAGTCTAGGCTGGATCTGGAAAAGCCTGGGTTGAGCTTCGGCACGCCAAGACAGCATCATGTTCTTCAGCGAGAGATGAGGCTTAAAAATGGATTTCTATGCCAAAAGATGGTTGAGCATTGCCACTTCACCGACGACATAATCAGCAACATGGCTAGTTCATAAACCTACATAAGCGTTGAGGGCTTTTAGCTGGAGATAGGTAATTTTGAAGAGGGAAGTAATAGCAGCTTGGAAATGAAAATATTTGCTGTAGAGGTTGGAGATTTTTGAACACCATTACCAGACATTATGGACTTTATTGAGCTAAATTATCAAGAGCAAAATTTGCTTTGCTCCCTCGTGTGTGGATAAGTGTAACCAGCTCTGGCTTAGCAGTGATTAGGATAATAATAAGACGGTTATATTATTGTTCTTTATTCAGTAATTGAAAAGATAAGACAAAGAGCTCACTTTGCAAATGGCATTTTGACATTTGCACATGGTGTGAAAGGATCTGTCAACATCTTCAAGTGTTCCTCACTAGTCATAATTCTGTTTGTCATTGAGAGACTGAAGTGTAGGCCGCTGGCAACGATTCAGTTCCTTTTAAAATTCATCCAATCTCCCTCTTATTGTGTCTTTCTCGAGGCAAAAAACGCTCCATGTAGGCTGCCTTGTTCTTGTCTTTCAAAATGTGAGTTTAAGTTAATCTTTCTGAATTATGAAAAGAGAAAAACTATCCCTATATTGAGGCTCTTGTTATCTAACGCTCTTGGGATTTTCAGGGTCTCATGGTTCAGCAAAGACACCCAGGAAATAAAATGAGATTCTCTGACCCTCCTAGTTGTTCCGCCCCACTTGACTTTTCACACGGTAAGTCCCTGGTGACCTTTAACGCTGGTAGGAGGTGAAGAAACGGTGACATAATGGGTTTGAAGTGTCAGGATTTATGTAGAGGCTGAGTCCTCTGGAGAAGAGAAGCGTTTTCCCATTCTTCCTTCACTCGGTGGGCTGCATCTTGAATATGTGGGATTACTCACTAAATGTTTCTGCTTGACAGGCATTGTCATTTCACTCCTCCCCATTCTTTCTTTCATTTAGACTGTCTTTACTCCTCCATTGTCTTTCGGTGTGTGAAAGCTCATCTTGTTTTGTCGATTCCAGGTCGAATCCCCACTGGCAGTGGAGGCGGTACTGGGTGAAACGCAGTTCTTTGTGGTAGACGAGAAAGTGTCCATTGCGGAGCTTCGTGTTCATGCCATCTCGGGACTGGCACTTAATCTTCAACCAAGCCCTGGCAACAGCCATACCATGGTTGCCAAGGCAACTGGCCTGCAGACACTCTCCACTCTTAAGCAGGTATAGTTGATCCCCTCATCGTTTTTCGGACCTTCTAGAATAAATTACATTTCATCTGGCTGTCTTGACAGTATATTGTTTCATTTTATACAAAATACAGATTTTTTTTTTTTGAATGTGCAGTATATTTGATTTGTTACTGGTCCATGGCAAGGTATCATTAACTAAAATCAAACTAAAAATCAACTGAAATTGAATAAAATATACAAATCTTAGGCTTATGAAAACGCTGTGTTGAAAACCCTGTTACAGCTTTGGTGTTCCCTGTCAAAAATGACCGACCTTTTAAAAATTGCCTCATTATGACTCATCACTCATTATGCTATATTATCTCCAAATATTGGATTCAATCTTTTGGTCAACTTGTTTTATTTCAATAAAGACAGGATTTGCATTTCTTTTTGTAAGTGATTGATCGTGGGCCTCATTACAGCTTATTCACCTCAGTTTTTGGAGTGAAAAAAGCATTATTCGTGAATAATTTTATCATTATTCAACAAAAATATTTACACTGTTTATCACACTATTGTGCTTTAAGGTTTAACCAGGAAGTTAGTTTCAAAATGCTTTTATTTTGTAAAAAAAGGGAACGAAGTCATATTTGTTGTGTTCCTGGCCTATATAAAAAAAAAGTTTATACATCCATCGTTATGCTATATTATTACCAAATATTGGATTCAATTTTTTTGTCCACTTGTTTTCTTTCAATTAGGACACGTTTTGTATTTATTTAGGAAAATCCTCTCCTGGTGAAAAGGAACTGAACACAACATAAGGGTTAAGCTAGTGTTGCCAAAGCTAAATTTCTCATTGTCTAAAATTAAGAAATAAAATTTATAAATACTGATTAAAAAAAACAACAAATAAAAAGGACAAAAACGCACAACAAAATTGCTAACACAAAACACAATTCACAAAATCTAATTCTAAATATTACACAAAAAAAACTATAATATCATATCAATCATACTAAAATAACGGTAACACTTTACAATAAGGTTCATTAGTTAACATTAGTTAACTACATTAGTTAACATGTACAATATGTTAACAATACTTCTTCAGCATTTATTAATCTTAGTTAATATTAATTCCAACATTTACTAATACGTTATTAAAATCAAAGGTTGTATTAGTTAACATTAGTTAATGGACTGTGAACTAACATGAATGCACCATGAACAGCTGTATTTGTATTAACTAACATTAACAAAGATTAATAAACACTGTAACTAATGCATTGCTCATCGTTAGTTCATGTTAGTTAATGCATTTACTAATGTTAACTAATGAACCTTATTGTAACGTGTTACCAAAATAACACTGTACCAAGCTCTAATCAACTTGTTCAAGGGTCTACAAACTCATTCTGGCCTCCATTCTTAGCTAGTCAACGCATAAACCATCTTATGAGTAGACTAAACCAACTACAGACCATTTAAAACCATCCGAAGTGCATATTTTAGTTGAATTGTCACAGTATCATCTACTGTATATGAATTTGCGTGAAATGTAACAGGTCTTATAATTGACATTCTTAGGCCCTGAATGAAGTCTCAAATCATATATTGTGTAACTGAAAAATTGTAGTTAATTTATACAAACTTAATTGTCTAAATATGACAGTATAATTTGTCATCATATACCCCTCTGCAGCTGAGTCCATGGAAAAGCTCTAACCTTTGGCCTCCCGCAACTAATTAAGCCAGTGACATTTATGTGAAATTCCTCCTTGTTGCTCAGGATTATTCTGCTCCTCAAGAGTTAACACTGGCTGGACTTAGCATCATATTGATGAATTCAGTCTCCATGAAGGTTATACACCATTGGCAAATTAGCCTCAGCCCAACCCTCACTACTTCAATAAAGGCTAGTTTGGCATTCAGACATATTCAAATCTCTTTTAATATCAGCGCACCAAATGAGAAAGCATCTCGCTTATTAAGGAGCCACCGCCACCTCCGTTCTCTGGCGTTCTCGAGTGTTATCAGGGGAGCTCCATGCGTTTGCTGTATAATCTTTCTCAAAGCATTAATTGGAGCGCATTCACTCGTATTTTCGTGTGAAGACCTCGGATTCTGCCGGGCTAATTTATACAATGTCTTGGGCAGGTCACGGAGCCCTGTCGCGAGAGCTCGGGGCCTTTTTTTCCTGCTCTGTACTTAGCCTGTGACCGACATCTGACGAGGGTGGGTGGCTGCTTTCTGTTCACGCATTAAAATCCAGCGGTTCTCCCCCGCTCTGTGCTTCGCCACCTTTGGTTTTAATTAGCGTAATGTATCAGCCTAAGTGCTTGTGGAGACTGTGCAATAAACATCACTGATGACCCTCCTCCTCCTCCACTTCTACCAGTCCATCATTTCAATCCCTCAGTGCACTTGCCTACTTTACCTCTGCAGTCACAAAATTACAGCAGTTTTGCAATCGTTTCTGCCCTCAGTTTTTTATTGATTGGTTTTCTGGTAACACTTTACAATGAGGTTCTATTTGTTGGGATTAGTCAATGCATTAGGCATCATGAACATTGGACAATAGTTCTTTACAGCTTATATTAGTCTTTGTTCAAATGCATTAATATAATCTAATAATTTATTAAAAGATAATTGAAGAGTTCAGATGCAAAAGCCTCTAAGTGCCATTTGAAATTTTCTTCTAGAATGATAATTTTTATCAAGCTTGTATATTTAAGTTCAGTGATTTCACTTAAATGGCAATGATAATTACCTATTAATTGTTATTTAAGTGAAATTACTGAACTTAAATATACAAGTTTGTTAAAAATCATCATTAAAGAAGAAAATTTCAAATGGCATTAAGAGGCTTTTGCATCTGAACTCTTCAATTATAATTTCTATATATGCATTAGAGCCAGACCGATATATCGGCCGGCCGATATTAGGCATTTTCCAAAATATCGGTATCGGCAGTTATAATGGCCGATAAATGAATGTTTCAAAAATAAAATAAAAATGGATGAAACACGCTTCAATCATCTCTCCTTGGCCTGTTATATTGAAAATGTACAGTATGTTTTACAATTTGCAGTATGATGTTATCTATTGCTAAATTATGGCTCATCATAGACTAGCTAACCACAAAGCTAGCTAATGCCACTATCATCAGTGGAAGACCGCTAACGTTAACATTTAATGAGCTTGGAAACCACAATGAACTTTTTCTGCCTAAATAAAGTAATGATTACTGTATTTATGACTAGCATATCTCTAGTTACAATCCCTGCATTGTAAAATGAAGTTATACTTGCGAGGAGTGAACATTTAGACATAGAGAAAATGTATCAATTGTATCTTGTGCAGAAAAGTTAGCTTTTCTTTTACACGTGTGTGAAATCCAACAACATTTAATAAAAAATAAAAAAATTTAAAAAATTAAAACTTTTTAAAATTAAAAAATTTAAATTTTAAAATTTAAATTTTAAAACCCAAAAATATTTGTATCGGTATCGGCCTTCAAAATCCTTTATCGGTCGGGCTCTAATATGCATTAAGTTTTAGGTTTAGAATAAATTACCATTTGTATGAACTAACAGTGAACAAAAGTGAATTTATAACTTGGAGTTAATTAATACAAATATTTTTATGCTGGTTCTTCATTTTCGTTGACAATACATTAACTATTATTAATTTCTACATACTTGAAATGTCATAACTTATCATTAGCCCTATTCGGACAATATACAGTATGTTACTCATGTGGACGTCTGTAAAAACTTGCATGGCACCTCAGTGATAAAACTTGCGTGTTTTGATGGCGATTTATTCATGGTTGCCACGTTTTTGGTTTTGTTTCATTTTCATGTTCTTGATTCATGTCTGTCACGTCGTTCTCTGTTATAGTCTTGCGATCCTCTAATGTGTTCCCTTGTCTTATGTGTCATGTTCTGATTGGTTCATTGTTTCATTGTTCACAGGTGTCCCTTGTCTTGTCATTAGTCTTGTGTGTATTTATGCCCTCGTGTCTGCCGCGTGTCCTTGTCAAGTATTTTTATCTTTAACCACTGTTGGGAAGTTTATGTGCATGTTTATGTTCTCGTTTAAGTCTTGAGTTTCATGCCATGCCATGCTAGATCTTTAAATGCATCCAAATTACGGCGATGCGCAACCGTTACCGTACCGTACTCAGCAGTGGTCCAAAGGATTGTGAATTTTGTATATATATTTTCTTGTAAACTCAGTGATGTGGATTCAGACAGCTATGAATTTACCACTCAAAGGTGTTTGTGAAAAAAGCAGTGGGTTTTTCGGCTGGGATTTTTTACGCGGGGAGTTGGAGAAAAACACTGACATTCTGAATTCAGATGTTGTGTGCAGTGTTACTGATTTTCTCTCTCTTTCTTTTACACTTTAGATGCCCCTTTCTTTTGTCTAACTGGCAGCCTTAAATAATTGATCTCGCTGTATGCAGGTGTAAGCGTTTATTCCGTTTTAAAGGTCCATGTGTCTTGGATGTAAGAACACTTTACTTTTATAGTTTGTTGTGTACAGTGAATTCAAACTAACTTTCAGCTCAAAACCTTTAGCAGTTAGAAATGTAATGATTTATCTATGTAAAAGTTACAGTGTCATGTCCAAAAAGCTGACGCTTGTAGAAGAATCAAGGACCATGTGTGATTGATGTAATTTTATTTAGTGGCTAGAGGTATCTCAAAAGGTCCACGAGGACATCATGTCATCCTCAATGTATTATTCAGATCATGCATATCAAAGACTCTCTTCATCTTGACAAGCAGTGTTGACAGAGTCTGAGCTCGAATGTCAGAACAACCTTGAAGTTAGAGACGCGACAGAAGAGATTTTTTTACAGCCTCACAACAGGCCGTTGCTGAGGCAGATAAATACTTCTCTTCCGGAATATAAAAGCAAAGCAACACTTCATTTCTGACTAAAAGCACTCTGGCAGAGTGGTTTTATTTTGTCTGCCTGCCAACAGGTGTAAGGTGTTGTGCTGTTCCTTTAGCAGAGAGCGAGAGCAGGAAAACAACTGTCAAGCTCAGCTTTGTTATGGGGTGACAAGAACACAAGCGTCGCACCAGTACTGCTTCCCCTATGTCTGATTCTAACGGCCAAAGCAGGCAAGCACCTCTGATGTTAGCTATATAAGAAAGTTGTCTTTTATCAGAGATGTATAAAGTACTAGAAACCCGGACTTGAGTAAAAGTACAAGTGCTCTATCAAACAAGTGACTTGAGTAGAAGTTGAAGTGCTCTTTAAGCACCACACTTAAGTAGAAGTACTAAAGTATTCAACGTTTTTTGTACTTAAGTATTGCAAGTAGTTTCTTTAAAAAAATCTCTACTTAAGTACTAAAAGTAAAAGTACAACTATTGTGTAATGTAATTATTAAAGAAAGCAGTCAAAAGTTTGAACTAGCAATCAAATAAGGCGCTTTGGCAGGATACAAATTTGCTTTGGTGGCCGCCAAAAAAATGTCATTGCTGGACAACCCCTGCATTAGTTTTCAATGTGTGTGTCAATCAATACCATTACCCTATAAAACTGGCGTGTGATTTAGGCAGCATGAAAGCCAACTTGCAACGAATGATTCGTACATTTTTTATAATTGTAACGAGTAACTAGCAGAACATTAAAAAAAATACTGAAGTAAAAGTATTAAATTCATCGAAAATATCTACTGAAGTAAAAGTAGAAGTATGAGAAAATAAAATACTCTAGTAGAGTACAGATACAGCATTTTAGTACTTAATCACAGTACTTAAGTAGTTCTACTTCGTTACTATACATCTCTGTCTTTTATGGACCAGTAATTGTGTGGCCAAAAAGTATTTAGTCAGCCACTGATTGTGCAAGTTCTCCTACTTAGAATGATGAGAGCGGTCTGTAATTTTCATCATAGGTGCACTTCAACCATGAGAGACAAAATGAGAAAAAAAATCTTTATTTGAAATAATTTATTTGTAAATTATGGTGGAAAATAAGTATTTGGTTAATAACAAAAGTTCCACTCAATACTTTGTAACATAACATTTGTTGGAAATGACAGAGGTCAAATGTTTCCTGTAAGTCTAAGGTTTGCACACTCTGTATCTGGTATTTTGGCCCATTCCTCCATGCAGATCTCCTCTAGAGCAGTGATGTTTTGGGTCTGTCGCTGGGCAACACGGACTTTCAACTCTCTCCACAAATTTTCTATGGGGTTGTGGTCTGGAGACTGGCTAGGCCACTCCAGGACGTTAAAGTGCTTTTTACGGAGCCACTCCTCCTTTCCCCGGGCGGTGTGTTTGGGATTATCATGCTGGAAGATCCAGCCACGTTTCATCTTCAAGGCTCTCACTGATAGAAGGAGGTTTTGGCTTAAAATCTCACGATACATGGCCCTGTTCATTCTTCCCTTAACACAGATCAGTTTTCCTTTCCCCTTTGCAGAAAAACAACCCCAAGCATGATGTTTCCTCCCCCATGCTTCACAGTAGGTATGGTGTTCTTGGGATGCAACTCTTCATTCTTCTTCCTCCAAACACGACGAGTTGAGTTTTTACCAAAAAGTTCTATTTTAGTTTCATCTGACCACATGATATTCTTCCAATCCTCTTCTGGATCATCCATATGCTCTCTAGCAAACTTCAGACGGGCCTAGACATGTACTGGCTTAAGCAGGGGGACATGCCTGGCACTGCAGGATTAGAGTCCCTCTCGGTGTAGTGTGTTACTGATGGTAGCCTTTATTACTTTGGTCCCAGATCTCTGCAGGTCATTCATCAGGTCCCTCCGTGTAGTTCAGGGATTTTTGCTCACCGTTCTCATTATCATTTTGACCCCACGGGATGATCTTGCGTGGAGCCCCAGATCGAGGGAGATTATCAATGGTCTTCCATTTTCTTACAATTGCTCCCACAGTTGATTTTTTTCACACCAAGCTGCTTGCCTATTGTAGATTCACTCTTCCCAGCCTGATGCAGGTCTACAATTTTCTTCCTGTTGTCCTTTGACAGTTCTTTGGTCTTGGCCATGGTTGAGTTTTGAGTCTGACTGCTTGAGGCTGTGGACAGGAGTCTTTTATACAGATAACGGGTTCAAACAGGCGCCATTAAAACAGGTAACGAGTGGAGGACAGAAGAGCTTCTTAAAGAAGTTGTTACAAGTCTGTGAAAGCCAGAAATCTTGCTGGTTTGTGGGTTACCAAATACTTATTTTTCACCATAATTTACAAAATAAATTCCTAAAAAATTCTACAATGTGATTTCCTGGATTTTTGTTTTTCAAGTGTACCTATGATGAAAATTACAGACCTCTCTCATAATTCTAAGTAGGGAAATTTGCACAATCAGTGGCTGACTAAATACTTTTTGGCTCCACTGTACAAAATATGAATCTCCAACACTCAATCAGTGTGGGCCCCTCCTTTAGAGTGCATCACTGACAACAAAGTAAGAATTCAAAGACAGAATTTGAAGGTTAACTGTTGAATTTATGCTCACAATTTCTTTCGTTTTGTGTTTTGTAGGAGGCCAGTTTGTCCATCTGGGTTTACTACAGTGACAATACCGCCGCCCCCCTGAGTATGTACGACCCTAAAGACTACAACCTCAATGCCTCCACATCAGACGATAAAATGGTTTCGGTGGCTCAACAACCCCAGGGGCGGTGGCCAGTCATCGTTGCCGAGAGTGAGGGGACAGGAGAGGTAGTGCACGTGGAGATGACCATCAGCGAAACCTGCCAGAAGACTAAACGCAAGAGCGTAATTGCTTCATCTCCCGTGTTCGTCAAAGTCCGCTTTGGACCAGATGAAGACTCTGAGGAGGAAGTGGATACAGATACTGAAATAGACACTGGAATGGCTTCCAACACAAGAAAGCCAGCCATCGATCCCAACGTAGGTGGTGCAGGGTATGAGCCATCTAATGAGCAACCCGCAAGCGTGCCCATTGATTACACCAACTTCCCTACAATAAGCAATTCCGAGGAACCGACTGAAGAAGATGAGGAGGATGACGAGTTTGTGCACAATCCCCGTAGCATGACCGACCTAGAGATCGGCATGTATGCTCTCCTCGGCGTGTTTTGTCTCGCCATCCTGGTCTTTCTTATAAACTGCATCGTGTTTGTGTTGAAGTATCGCCATAAGCGCATCCCTCCTGAAGGCCAAGCCAACATGGACCATTCCCATCACTGGGTGTTCTTGGGTAACGGGGAACCCCTGCGCACCCAGAACGACCTCTCGCCCCAGACGGTGGAGAGCCCCAGCAACACCTTGGAGGGGGTACAGACATGTTGTCACGGGGACCACCACAGCAGTGGCAGTTCGCAGACCAGCGTACAAAGCCAAGTCCACGGCCGAGGAGACGGCAGCTCCGGCGGTTCCACCAAAGACCACGGAGAAGATGCCAACTCGCCAACCTCCAAACGCAAGCGTGTCAAGTTCACCACCTTTACCCTTCCCACAGAGGATTTACCCTACAACTCCATCCCCATTGCCAATGAAGAGGACATTCAGTGGGTTTGTCAAGACATGGGCTTTCAGAACCCAGAGGACCTGCACGACTACATGCGCAGGATAAAGGAAATAGCCTGATCGGGTTAGATGCTTTCTAAAGACGTTCCTTTCTATTTTTCTCTCTCTTATTTTTCACTCCAGAGGAGGTACCTTTCATGACGAAAACAACAAAACAAACAAAAAAACAACAACAACCAAGGCCTAATGTCCAGTTTTGTTGGGGTTTTCTGCACAGTGCTGTTTCCCTTACACATTGACACAATTAAAAATATATTCATGACGCTGCCAGGGAAGCCAAAGACAAGTCTAAGGGATTCTAGCTAAAATGGCTTTAGCGGTGTGTGTGATTGCTGCTCAGTAGAAGGGTGAGTGTACAATCTTTGTGGGAAACAGAGTTTTTTTTTTTAGTTGTGAACACTAATATCAAAATGGATCACTGAAGTACTCAATCATGTGTGGGTCACCCTACTGTGGATGGGATCTTTCTCAGAGGAATGCCTGGAGTCTTGGCACTGTGTCCATTTTTCTTCTTCTCTCTTTTTTTTTTAATCCAACAGATTCTTCTCCAACAAAGAGGCCTTTGAAGTGCAGATCTACTTTTGTCCCAGATTTGTGTTTGAGATGGATCATTTTCATGCCATTGTTGATAAACCTGACACTTAGCCACAGAAACTGTCAGGGATGTTCGTGAGAACGTGCCATGGATTCTTTTCTGTCAGTGTTGGAAAGGTGGAATGGTTTTATCCCCCCGCCCCTCTTATCTCAGTTCAACACATGCCTTGGTTGTTGAATTAGGTATTCGTCTGTCTTTGGTATTTCATACTCATTCTCAATCTGGATCCCACCTCTGCTTCTCTCACTGTCTTGGTTAAGTCAAATGCCTTATTTTTAAATGAATCTCAATAGTCACAACCTCTCTCTGTGCTGACACCACATTTGTTCATATTGGTAAGGGCCAAAGCAGGGGGCAACTCCACGGATGTCTGTATCTCAATGAAATGTGTCAGCATGGGGAAGACGAGAGCTTGTACATTGTGGAGTTGGGTATCTTCTCCAACATTCCTCTGCATGAATGGAGACTTGGAGGCACAATTAGCGCAATTTTGTTTCTTTTTTACTTTGTATATGTTTGTATTGTGAGAATTATCTAATCATGCATAAATGATAATAGAGGACATATCATGTTACCATGCATTACATGCATGTGCCAGACGCTCCCTCCTCCTATGTACATACCATGTTCAGTACACAACGACTGCTGACGCTTAACTCTTGATTACTCGGTTAGCCTGAGAAGTAAGAGAGGCAGATGCCATATAGGAAGTCGGCAGCCGGATACTTGAATTTCAGTGAGGCTCTCGTTTCTCTTTTTCTCTCTTTACTGAACTCACCGTGAATTCCCATCCAGGTGGTAATAGAGTTAAGGATAAAATGCTATGCAAACACACTGGAGGGGTTGATTATTGTGGTTAGGTAAATCTGCCCTAGATAGGCCTATTATTATAGCACCACGATTACTTTAGTTAATATACCAAGAAATATCTCAAACTAGTTCAGTAACATCTGCCACAAAATGCGGTAGCACACTAGATCAGGCCCAAAAATGTAAACATTTACTAGTTTAGTAAGGGTTAAACTGGTAACGGGTCTGGAAGCTTTTTTTTTTTTTTGTGGTGGGGCACAAAGACGTTGTATCTGTATTGCTGCTGACCAATCACAGGTTAGTTTCAGGGTTACAGTCCCAACCCTCAGTTTTCTTCAGGATGTCTAAATTCACACACTGTATTAAATGCTTATTTCCCACTGTGCTTATTTGTAACATGCAGGATTTACCTTTGACTTGTTTTTAATAGTCTTATTAGTCATTTTCCGGTAACCGGAGGGAACACCTATATTTGCTTTTTTTGGTTTATAGTAATTTTATTATTATTATTTTTTAAATAGATCACTCCTAATTTAATCAGAGACCCTTTGCACTCCAGATAAGAGTCACAGAGAATTTAATACCGACACCTCTCCACCTTTCTCCTATTGTTGCCCCCTTCACCCTTTAAAAAAAAAGGAATAAATAAACCCTCAATCATATGATGTGTGATGAAATGTTAATTGATGATGTAACACGTCAAGGTATTAGGTTTTGATTGACAGCTGGAGTGTTGGTCAAGTGTTTAGTTTGGCCCACACTACAGATATGGAGGCTCAGAACTGAATGTAAACTTTTCAATGTACCTTGGTGATCAAAATGAACATAATTTCCAATGTATTATTAATGGGGTACACGAGACTCGATACGACTACTAGCAAGTCTCTGGTAGCAGCTCATAGACGTTTCCGTGCTCTAAAATTATTTTCTATAAAAAATGATTATGGTGTAACATCACCATCAGGACATTTTTGGTTTCATATTGGGTTTTTTTTACTTTCAACTGATGTACGTATGTAAGTATATGAATCAGCAGTTGCAATATCTGTGCTTTCATTTTTCTTTTTCAAGAGGAGCTGCTACTAGGCCTTTGCCTTGACCACATGCTGTGTTGTGGTGTAGATTTGAGCTGTACTCTATGACCCGCTGAAGCACGGTACTGTCAGCCATGTGCTGTCACACCCTTAATGTACAGAGCACTGTTACAACATCCTGTATCCTCCCTGAAAAAAACAACTGTTGTATTTCCCTCCTTATATGTAAGTACTAAAGAAAATACAATGCATAAACTATGTGTTATGTCTTTTACTTGACAATGTGTCTGTATTTTAATGCGCTATCCAAACAATGTCTGAAATTACTTGAGATCTCTAGACAGCTGTTCATTTATGAAGACTATTGTTGTTTCTTAATAATAATCCACAGTGAAAAGAAACGGAAATGACAACAAAAAAAAATTTCATTTTTAAGCGGTTCCTGCTATTTTATTTTATAATGGCATTAGTAATCAGCGCACAAAGCAAGTTGACGTACAGAGGAGAAGCAAGTTATTTGAATTGAAAAATTACACATTTGGAAAGTTAATTGGGTCAATTTTGACTTTTAACTTTTATTTTATTTAATGTGCACTTTTATATATATTACACAAGTGCACATTAGATAATAAAAGTATATACTGTATATATAAATATAAGTAAATAATATATAAATATTTTCATGACTGTTTCTTTACATTTAAAAAAGTGGACTTGGTAATAATGTCAAATGTTTTACTTTAAAGAACATGAGAATAATTATGTTTTAACAGTCTTTTGGCAATCTTTTCATAATATAAAATAATTATGAAATTACATACAAGTGTGTGGGGAAAGAAAATCCATAAAGTTTTGGACTAACTTGAGGGTGAGTAATATTGATGACAGAATTTCAACTGCACTAAATGTCAATTTAAACTATAATATATTTTGATTTAATTACAAATAAAATGCAATAAAATGTCCGAAACATTACATTCAATTTGCACGAGAAAAAAATATATTGTTTCTGTAATAACTAAGTGTTATTCTTTTTCACAAGGTCATTTCTATTTGTTTAGGTCCTCAATTTGTACAGGTACACTCTCAGAAAAAAAGGTACGAAAGCTTTCACAGGGGCTTATCTTTTCAAAAGGTACACTTTTGTCCATTTTAGGTACTAATTTATACGTTTTATGTGCTAATATATACATTGTATGTGCTAATATGTAAATTTTTGGTGCTAATATGTACATTTCAGGTGCTAATATGCACATTTCAGGTACTAATACCGGTATGTACATTTTAAGTGTTGATATGTACATTTTAGGTGTTAATATGTACATTTTATGTGCTAATATATACATTTTATGTGCTAATATGTACATTTTTGGTGCTAATATGTACATTTCAGGTACTAATATGTACATTTTAAGTGTTGATATGTACATTTTAGGTGCTAATAGGTTCTAATATGTACATTTCAGGTACTGATATGTACAGTTTAAGTGTTGATATGTTCATTTTAGGTGCTAATATGTACCATTAAGGTACCAATATGCACCCTTAAGGTACAAAACTGTACCTTTTAAAAAGGTACAGCCCCAGTGACAGCTTTTGTACCTTTTTGAGAGTGTAAACATCAGAGAGTACTTCTGAGAGTGTAAACATCATCATAGCCATTACACGTCAAATAAGTCTTGAGATTTCATGGAAAGTGTCAGACAAAAAAATAATGTACTTTAGTGTACTTTTAAAACAAGTATCACGGAAATAATTTACTTTAAAAGAATATACTTAAGTGCAAACTATTTATTATGGTTTACTTTTATATTAAATGCAATAGGCTGTAAGTTTAGGTGTAGTTGTAAATTTATCTGTTATTTCATAATAACTTCTATTGTCTTTGAATTATGGTTAAAGTGTACTGCCAAATGTATTGGCAGGCATTTATGGACTAATATATACTTTAAAGCCATTTCTGTAGACACTTGTACAGTATGTCATATATTTGAATATATTTACACATATGTAATGATGTAGCAATTTAGTACATTTAAAATATATCACTAATTAAATCTAATATCAAATAACACATTACAGTAAACATTATAAGCAATTACTTGTCTTAGTAAGCCCGCACATCAAAATACTTGACAAAGCATTATAAAAAAAAAAAAAAAACATGATTTGACATTGTTACAAACTGCACTTTTGGGTGTACTTTAAGAAATTGTCATGAAAGTGTGCGTTCTTTATTTACACTTAAATGGCCTTTCATTTCATTAATATATTCTCTCCAAATACATTTTTTCAATAATTTTAAAATGTGAAGTACTCAAGTGCACATTCAATACAATCAAGCACACTTTTTTTCACAAGGGTTTAACTAAACTTATACTTCATAAACTTTCCATGCATACTGCAAGATTTTATTCAACAAACTTTTCTAATTGGATTTCAACATGTAAATGTGTTCTAATACATATCCAAACGCTTTAAAATGGCTATAGTACTTCACGATCATTGCTTCCCATCATTACTTTTATTTCCATCATTGCTTTTACAATACCAGACTCACACATAAACACTCTAGAGGTTAGTAGTAGGTAAAATGAGAATAACAACCGCCTTCATGGCATCTGTGACTGCTTTCAAGGATGTACACTCTGAGCTTAGAACTCCCATGGGAAATAATGTGGGTTTTCAACTGATGCAAAGACTTCTTCACTTACAGGTCTTGTTACATTGTGCCGAAATGTGAGAAAAGAAAAGTGTTTCTGTTGCTGTACATAAAACAACAGTAGACTTATTTTGCACCTTAGTGTCACGTATTTCGTGTACTAGTCCTGTATGGTTACATCCCCTGTGTCAACACGAAACTTTACAAATCTCGGGTCTATTAGAATTGTTTTTTCCATTTTTGCAGCACCTCTTTTCCCAGTCTGTCAGTAACACTCTGTTCAGTTCCTTTTACTAGGAAGCACCTCCTTCTAAAAAAAAGTGTGCTCTGATTGGTCGGCTGGATCAGTGTGTTGTGATTGGTCAACTGTTTGAGCATGTTTCAGAAATGTCTACCACACAACTCAACACGACCTTGACCACATTTTTTTTTTGCATATGACTTGGGTTGGAAGTATTTAAATGAGTAATATTATGACCTATTTGAATCCCGGAAGAAAACTCAAAACTACAATGGAGGCGAATTGGCGAGTTCAGAAATGGTGCGCGCTGATAAAGAAAATAACTCCCTTTGAAATGACTTTGTGCTTTGTAACTTTGCAGACCCTTTTCATGCTCAAATGCAACCAGGCATAATAGGTCCTCTTTAAACTCTCTGGAAACAATTCTCTGGAAGGTTGGGTGGGTATAACGTCTGTCATCGGGGAGAAATCGCTCTAAATCACAGTGTAGATCTATTTGACAAGAGGGGGAAATCAGTAAATCATCCTGAGTAAAACAAAAAACTTTTAACAACACATCAGACTAATAGGTACCAACAGTACAGTGAAGGCAGAACAAAGCCAAGGTCTTCATTTAGGGAACAGTGGCACAAAGGTGACTGTAACAGAAGATTGATATTATTAAGCTAAAAAGGAGAGGTGTAATATCACTCCCCAGGTATGAGCATGTGGGAACACGCATCAGCTGGCAAAGTAGCCTGTAATATAACCATGCAATGTTTCCAGACATTTCATCAGCTGGGAGTTGTCAGGAATGTCACCGCTTGAAGCCACTCATAATTAAAAGGTTGGGAGTTATCGCACATCACAGACTCGCCAGCATTTGATGGAGTGCATTTGGAATGCATCCTAATTGAAAGCTTTTATTGAAGAGATTAATTAAAATGAAAAAAAATTAAAGGGAAACAAGCAAATACTGTAGAGTAATGGTCTTGTTTTAGTTCTTGGCGCCTGTATATATATCATTATTTTAGACCAATAATGATTCAACATGATTGTGTATAGTTATAGTATAGTTTTCAATTACGAAAGAAAGTCTAAGTATAACATTAATGTATTTTTTTTTTCAATCAGAGTTTGGTACAGCCCCCAGGGTAGCTTTCAAAGGCTCTTTTACAGAATTTAATTTACGTTTTATAGTGTTCTATATGTTTTGCAACTTACATGCACAAAGGTCAAATGGAGGTGCACGTTATTTTCACTTAGGTATTAAATCACGCAGAATTAATTTATTCTCCCGACTACTTTACTTATATCTTTTAAATTTTCCTCAAAAATCATATAAATCTTCTGTTTATACATTCAGAAGGTCTTCCAGGTTTGTGGAATTGCACACACAGACCAGCCAGGTGTGCTTAAAGGGACAGTTCACTTTGAAATTAATTTTTGATATGTTTTAGATTCAGATCAGTTCGACATGGCTGTTAACAAGAGGTAAAAACGATATAAATACTGTTCGTTTTCTCACACAAACCGCTCGTTTCGTTTCTTAGGCCATCAGTGTGTTCACGAGTCATTAAATCAAGTTTAATTTTGACTTCTCTGTGCATGCTCTTTGAGGTGGACCCCCTAAACCTGCATTATATGACTGACAGACAACAATTGTCAAAATTGAAAATACTGTGGAAACAAAGACACCTACATCTTGGATGCCCTTGAGGTAAGCTACGTAAAACATATCAAAACTTAATTTCAAAGTGAACTATCCCTTTAAGCTAGAACACATGTAATATCTGAACTGGCTAGGTTTGTTGAGTGTCATGTTTGATTTCATGTTAAATATGGTCAAAAGAAGGGTCAAAAAAGTTAAGACAAGACATAATCGCCCTTCACAAACAAGGAACAGGATGCAAAAAGATAGGGAAGGCAGTTCAGAGAAGGATTTTTCCATGGTTCGACTTGATGGACGGTGTGCTGGGTCACCGTCCCTCTGTTAGTGGCGACTCGTGAGACAATCTATCCTGTTAGATCTGGGGAGGGCGGGTCTTGCAGTCAACTAGGTTTAACTCCTGAGTTTTCTACATACACACACTTCAGGTGGCTGCCGTGTATTTAGTAAATCCTGAAGCCCACCTTGCCGACTCTTGAGCATTACACATTGCAGCAGGATAGACACCACACACAACAGGCCTATCAGTTGTACAAACACTAAAAGCATTGGGTGGGGGGAATAGGATCCTGTTGCTCACTCAGTCTTCCTTAGCATAGTGCTGAATATTTCCCCCAAAAGGCGGTGGCATATCCCTCCGCCACAAAAGCGTCCGTTCAAGTTGCTAATACAAAGATGCATTTTCAAATGTCCGTCCCCAAGATTGGCC